CGCCATTGGGAACGAAATACAGTTTTGTTAAAGTTTGCTTAAAAACGTAGCAGAGAAACAAGAAGATGAACAGTAATATTGCGAGAAAGAAATGTGAAATAATGAGACATGATTTAGTGGTGCGATAAAATGGCATGTCTTTGGAGTTTATAAGGTTTGCAACGTCGCACATTTTCATGCTATGGAAGGAAGTAATGATTGAAATTTTTGGAAATTTCAAATGTTGCGGGAAAACACAAAATAAATATGGCAAAAATTAATAATTAGTATTAATTCTGTCATATTGGGGGGTAATTGTTGACACACTAAAAGTGTAGCCCAAATCGAATGGCTCATGGAATGAAGCCCAATTGAGGAATTCCCAAATCAAATAGTCCAAAGAATGAAACCCAGTTGGGTAATTCAGGATAAAGGCCCAGACAGGATTATTAATAAATGCAGCGAAAGCCCACGAACACAGTAACATCATCGCCCAAGCTTGCAAGATGCCCAAGATCTGAGCAAATGGAGTACCTTATGGTCGTCCAGAGCAATGAACCTGTTCTCACCCATACTTTCGAATCGCCCAGGATCTTAGCAAACATAAAATGTTATGGTTATCCAGGAATGCAGTTATTAAAGCAATTATTGAGCAACCTTATCACATTCCACAATTCAAGGAACCCAGTTGAAGGCGGTTGAACGACAAAGAGTAGTGGCAGCAGTTAAAGACGACAGTTCCACGACAAGTTAGCCACTATAGAGAAAGTGGATGGTTATGAAGTAATCAAGCAGTTTCCAAGCGAGTTGTCACAAAGGAATCATCGAGAAAATATAAAAGGAAGAGAAGACATAGAGAGAAAGGACCCCGAATCAAACACTCAAACAGAAAATATATAATTTCAATTTTCTTAATTTAAACTTAAACATTTCTTTCAATACTCGTGTGTTTGCACCACTTGGAAACATTCTGTTTAGTTCCAATCGTAAATCATCGCCAATAAAACACATCTTTTTGGGACTTTGTCTCAAGAGGTTTGTTTCTTACACCATCGTCTAATCCCTTTTTAATTGTTAGCGACTATCCACGCGAAACAACATCACTGAATATGAACTCCAGAAAGGGAAAAAATTTACGTCTTTGGGCACAAAATACATTAATTAGATTGTCTCCTGCAATGCCATTGTTCATAATATGCTTTTATTGTTGCATTACAAATTACATGAAATCAAAAAATACAAATTGCAATTGATGAACTTTCTAAAGAGACTCCATTTCCTTTCTTTAGACAGCTAAAGCGCTTAGGTTCTCGCTTTGGACACCTACTGCTTGATAGCCGGACCATTGCATATGAAAGTGCCATAGTTTACCTTCCCTTGATCTCGTCCAATCTACTTTAGGCTTGGCTTTTCTGCATCTCTCTCTTGCTTTCTAGCTCCTCTCTCTCTTCCTTGCTGATTTTCTGCTCTAATCTCATTAAGTCATTCTGGTCGCATTTATTTTAAAATTTTAAGCAGTTTTTTGACCGTTATACAGTGCAAGAAAATCCCATACGACTAGCAATTATTGACTACTTCCTAACCTGATAATTAAAGTGAAAAAATTACCTATGTGCCCCTTTATTTTTACATTCAATTCCAAGCTGACATTTCTGGTAATTCAAAATAAAAATAAGACGATTGCTACTTCTTTTCCCCACATTTGTGACTGACATTGGTTTGCATGGTGTAACGGTCCAAAAATTGCTAAAAATCCCATATAAGTACGACCAGACAGGGGCTAAGGAATCAATTAACTGTGAGAGAGTGTTTAATTGTTAATATTTTCTTCGTGAAAAACATTTTCCTACTTTTGATCACATTTTCCTCAAAAACAAAGAAATTATTTTCAATAGGAGTAAACTTTTATTTTCCAGACAATTCACTCCCTCTTTCTTTCTCATCTATCCACCAATAAAAACTAAAACAATATAACATTTTTCAAGTTGAAAATAAAATCAATCAAACACATTAATTAACAACTTTTATGCAAATAATTTCTAGACAATATTCTTTTCATGTAAATTTCATGTTCACAATCAAACACTCCCTAAGATTAGAAAAGAATCTTAGAACTCCCAAAATTCGTCGAATTAAAAGTTTAAATCTACATGTAACAAATAATAATTATACTGTTGAAACATGCTTTTAAGTGGCAAGCTAATTTTCTTCATCCCTTTGCCTTCTTTCTTGTTCTCTCCTCTTAAATGCCTCTTTAAAAATTTACGAAGGAGATATTTAAGAGGAGAACAAGGGAAAAGGCTAAAGAGACGAAAAAAGCTAGGTTATTGGTGTAGAGAGCCACGAAAAGCACACTTCAATGGCATAATTGTACGTCTAAGCTTTTAATTCAATTAGGTTCTAAATTCTTTCTTATTTGATTCCTTAATTCTTAGAAGAAACGGAGAACAAAACCCTTCACAACCTTCCTCCAAAATTAAACCTAGAAACCTCACACGAAATTAAAGAGCTATATCTAGGAATAGAAAGCTAAGACTCATATACAAACAAAAATATTTAAACGTGAATCCATTTTCATTTATTGCTTAGTAAAAAGCCATGGTACAAAACAAGGACATAACCATGCTACACATTGTGAAAAGCGAACAAATTTTCATTATAAAGTCCTGACCCAAGTGAGCAAGAGAACAAACTTCCCACCGCTAATGACACTTCGTCACATCAACAATACATTTTCCTTTATTAACTTATTTATTTAGCTTACCCCATATTACCTATCATTCTATTGTTACTTCATCCCAATAAATGAAGCTTAATCCATTCGGTTGTTACCTCTGTTCCACCCACTCCACAAAAATATATACCCACCCCGAATGACTAAAATATTCAAAAGTATATGATCAAAAAATTAAAAATTAAATATCGGATCCATGAAAATTCTATTTTCTTTAAAATCAAACAAAGAATAATCCGCTTATACACATAAACGACACATCAAGATTATTTTTTTCATCCGACAAAGAAAAACCTAGTTAGAGATTACACGATTAAAACACAAATCAAAGCATATAAAAGAATTTTTTTTGAAAATTTATTAGTAAATAACTAAAAAAGAAGTACCTATACTTTATAAAAAGATAGATGACCCTGGAAAAGCAAAGAAAGGTTTTTTTTACCTATTGTAACTTTTTTTCTCAATATAAACTAAAAATATGTGAAAATTGGAGGATAGTGGATAAATTATCGATGGGTGGGCAGGTAAATAGTTATTGGGGTGCTGGAATGGTGGGATTGTTAGGCAAACAACACTTCTATACAACATGTTTCACATCCCTCTCACATAAAAGAGAGGGGGCCGATTTGAGAGGACTGTGAAACTTGCTATATAAAAAAGCTATATGAGCTTCAAACCCCGTAGGAAAGTTAAACTTCATTTATTAGGGTGTTTGGTAGATATTTTTATGTAAAAATGTATTTTTGAATAGTAAATTGATGGAAAATGTGTGGTTGAAAAATAAGGAAAAGTTTTTGATTTACGTGTAATATTATTTTAATAAAGAATGTGTGGTTGAAAAGAAGAGAGAGAAAAATACATTTTCAAAAAAAATGGGTACCAAACGGGCTCTAGAATGAAGTGACAATAGATGTGAGGCAAAAGTCAAAACAAAGTCAATAAAAAAATGCATTGCCAATTTGGCAACGGCATATCAACGGTAAGAACTTTGTTATCACACCTATTACATTATATTTTGTTTGTTTAATATAGCAGTTGCAACATAAAATGAAGCTAAACGGACATCTGACATAACCTAAATGAGCAATATTCCTTAGCCTCGACTTTTTCTCAACATACTTGATTAATGAAATCTAGTTATTTTATTATCTCAATAATAAAGCCAATATAACAATAACTGATCCATAAACAAAAACACAACAATTCAAAGCAAAACACATGATTTCAAACCCTTATGCACATTGGAGATAGAGATGTCTCAGACATCCAAGGAAGGATAAAAGCAGCAGTAGCTCTCAGGCCTGGCGAAGGCGAAAGCTCTTAGGCGGCCACTGCGAATGTTTTGAGAAACAAGCCTTTGGATTTGTCATCAGAGACATCAAACTAATTTACATTTTTACTTGTAATAAGGAGAAAAAATTGTTCCATCCCTGCATGGCCAGCGCATCATTGGAAAAAGAAATGCTGACAAAGTGATGGATGGATGAAATAATTGAATTTCAGGGACTAATCATCCCTAAAGCAATCCAATTCCAATGCTCGAGGGGCAGACATTCAAAGTCCCAATATTATAAATGAAACTGAAATCAATATGTTTTTCAAAAAAGATTACACTTTTACCAAATTCTAAAAACATTAAATAAGAACAGAACCAATAATGAAAGACACACACACAAAGCATATTTGTAGTATTAACACAGACATTCAAACGCATAGTGTCTCAGACATCCAAGGAAGGATTGAAGCAGCATTAACTCTCAAGCCTGGCGAAGGCGAAAGTTCTTAGACGGCCACTGCGAATGTTTTTGAGAAACCAGCCTTAAAATTAATCATCATAGACACCGTGTTAATCAAATCCACAAAGCCAATTGAATTCTTCTTTAGACCTCTAAATATGAATAGATCCAGTAGCCTACAGAACCTCACCAGTGTGCTACTGGATCATTTCAGATTTAAAGATCAATACCTTTCAAACAAAATCATAAAATTAAAATAAAGCAAACTATTTTTAGCTATGGTAACAAGCACAAGACAAACACAGGATAGCGCAAATTCAGCACACTTAAAAAATAAACAATGAGAAACAAGATTGATTACAGATAGAGCAGAAGTGATTACTGACCGGAGCGAGGGGATGAACGGCACTTATAAAGGCTGAAGATGGGGTGTAGGGTTTTGAGATATATGTGATCGTGCGGCGCAAAATTGGGGCATGGAATGGTGTAGAATTCTAGGTGGTGATAGAAGGCCCCGGATTGGGCCGACATTGTGAAATGGCTCGGGTACATCCGCGGCCCACAAATAAATAGAGCACGTTTCGCAAAGCTTAAAAGTTTTACTCATGAGTTAATTACTAGAAATTAAAAATTATGAAAATGGAGAGCTTCTGTGCGTTGGAGAGATAAAGAGCCTCTTATTTTTATGCTATTTGATTTGATTCGTTATACAGGCATATATTATAATTGAATATCTGAGAATTGCTTCAATGAAAATCGGTTCTTCGATTTCCAAACTCAATTATGTGTTTAAATTTCTGTCTGAACAGAAGTGGGGTTCTGCTTTTGGGCTAAAAATATCAGCAGCTGTTGGTGTACTCAGTGCTGCTATTAAATTATTGGCTGTGAAAGATAAAGCTTTGAACTTTAACAGCCTGCTATTGTTATCTGATGGCGATTCTGAGTACTGGACAGTCCCAGTATTGCAAAATCTTCTTGAATGTTATTTTGCAGGTGAATAGAATTTTATCAATGGTCTCTCTTATTTTTCTTGAATGAGGTTGTTTCTGATGAAACTCTGATTTTTCTGTGGTGAATTTGTATAAAAACTTTATTTCCACGGAATATTTTCTATTATGCCACCTGTATTTGATGTTCATGTCATTAGCATAGTTTTCTAATTATATTCTAATGGATTTATATTTGGTTTTTAGGCTTTGGCAAGCTGCTTAAGCTTTTGGAAATATCTTTAAAAAACTGTTGAGGAATTCAAGTTTTCCTCAGATGGAATTGAAAGAATTAAGCGTGCCACTTGTTAATACCTTGGCTTCTCTAATGTAAGGTCTGTGAGAGTTGTTTTCATGTTCTGAAAATAAGAAATCGAATTGAGGAGTTTGCTCATTTGGAAATAAGTGTCTCCGATTCATAATGCAATTGTGGTAAAATTTATCAAATTCAAGTTCGGCATCTTATTCCGAGTAATATTAAGTTTGAACTTGTTGATGTTTATAATCTCTTGTGGTTTAGATGCGTTCTTTGATCTGTGCATATGCTACAAGTTGTTTTCTAGATGTCGGGATTTCATGGCTAGAGCCTAAAAGTGTACTAGTCAGGAATGTGTTTATTTTGCAGTTATGATCCACCTTTACTTAAACTCCATAAGTCATCTTTTATGATAGATTTATGTGAGCTTTTTTGGAATCTTGGAAAGGTTACTAAACGGAAGGATCTTAATTGCTGCTTCAACATTTGTTTTCCACGCATGGTGATGAGTTAGGTTATACGACAAGCTTAAATGATCCGAGAAATTAGTAGGCTTTAAAGTTTCAAAGTGTAAGATTATCATAATTTTTCTCCATTATTGCTTATATGAAGTATTGTGCACTGTTTTCTACTTTATAAAAACCAAAGAAATCATTTATAACTTGTTTTATTCTTTCAGTTTCCATCAACACTTTTAGATGATAAAAGATAGAATTTAGAAAGTCTATTCTCTTCCTGACTGACTGCTTTCTGATTTTGCGTTCTACCTCTACTGGTAAAGGGGCTTTAGCCTTACAACAAGCTTTTCACCTCATGTTGTAAGCTCTATCTGTATTTTCTTGTCACAGTAGTGATTGCTGTGAAATTAGTTATTGTATTCATAGTATGGATAATGTTCTCACAGCTAGATGAAAGATCATCTGATGTAAATTTTATCTACTTTGAAGCATCTCTAACCCCATCCTGTTCCCCGTCTTCCTCCCGCCCAAACTGCGGTTTATATTTATGGGATGTCAAATTATTTCAATTGACATTTTGTAATGCCACATAGGTCTTCTAAACAATAATAAACTTTTTGTGTCCTGGTTGAATTCAATGATAAGCTTGTTAAGTTGCATTTAACATTCATGCCCAGCATGAATTCATAGCAAACCTGACCTTACAGAATTAGGTACTGTACTGGCATAGAAGAACCGTACTGATTCCAAGAGAACTTATGCTAGCAATGGATAATTACTTTCCAAGTTTCAATCTAACTAGCCAGCAGTTTCTTTTGCGATAAGCATTTGAGCTTCATAATCAATGAGGAAATGTGTTAACTTGAATTTGTCTAGATGCAGGATGCTGAGGAAGCATTCTCTCATCTCGTGTCTTCATTAAGAAAAGAAATCTTAAAGCTGGATTCGAATTGTTAATAATAGCAACGGGCAGGGTGAATGGCAAAGATGGTGGCACAGTTTCCTTGGGCCTTTTGATGGGATTGTTGGCAACATTTTAATATACCAAAGCTGTTAGTTTCAGGTTGATGGTACCAGGAAGAATATTATCATGATATTATTATTTCGAATTGTTCATTGCCCATATTTCAGGTTAGGTAGTTAAGGTAAATGCTTTGTATCATATCTATGTTAATAAATTTTTTATATAACGATGTAAATAAATGGAATACATTGACCAATTTTGTTGATTATGTTGACTGTTCTACAATGGTTATCCTCATAATATTGTAAGCTCGATTAGTTGACCTTATAGTGGAAGTAGCAAAATGAAGGACACTCTTTCAATCTTTCATACTTTTCTCTTTGCCCCCATTAAATTTCATTACATTACATTTCATTTCTCTCTCTCCTATTTTCAACCACACAATCTTCCATAAAATAATATTACAAGTAAATTGAAAATTTTTCCTTCTTTTTCAACCACTCATTTTTCAAAAAAATACTATTCCACCAATTTTTATTTCTAGAAAATGGGGGCCAAACGGGGGCTTTAAGTGAGTTCAATATCAATGAACCCGAATTATTGCAATTGCTCAGGATACCCTTTTTAGCTTCTAGTTTCTATTTTATTTGTTTTACCTTTCTATCTGTAGATATCTCTTGATTTTCAACTATTTCACAGTTTGCATCTTTCGCCCCAATCAACCATAATGCTCCAACAGTATGGTCTTACAATTGTGATACAAATGCTTTCTATACCTTTATATTCAATACCTTCCTCGTGGTGATGTTTTCTGGTATAGATATATTTGGATGGAAGAATGCTCTCTAGAGGATTGCCTCAAGCATTTTTTTTGTTGCCAAACATCTTGAGAATTACTGATGCAGCCACTGTTGGCACAGTGCTGCAATAGAATATGTGTCTACAGTAGCTGAAGATAACGTAATTTTTCATTCCATACTGAGATTCGTCAGCTTGGCTAATACTTATGACCCTAATGTTGTGGATATGATCACCATAAAATTTTCTATCACAGTCTTACCCATTTATGTCATATTTGGTAGTGAAGATTGGTTAGCACTGGACACTATTAAGGAAAAATCTTGTTCATTATATTGTCGATGGTGGTCAAGTACTGCGTACGAACATGCACTTATGGTCATAGCTTTTAGCTTCTATGAACTGAAAGCTTCTCTTTTTTGTCTATCTTGGCTGGCATATTTCGTAACAAAACAGTTGGAAATTTTGAAATTACTTGTGTAATCCTGATATATACCTTTTTTTCCAGACGGATATTGGAAAACTACAAAGTTGTACTCATGATGATTCATGCGACTGCGAAACTCTTTCTTCCCTTCAAGGATTTCCAAGGTCAAACAAGTTCTGTTGTGTTTTCAAACAACTCAATATTGCACAGAGTCCAAAAGAATGTATATACATTTCCATAGCCTTGTGTCTATTGAAGCTTGGCAGTAGTTATTGAAGTTTTATTATATGCTGTATAAAGACAGATCATGATATTATTAATTGGGTTCATGGAGGAGGGGAAAATAAAAATCTTGAACATGGCATCCTCAGTGTATAGTTGATAAAGTTAAACATGGTTGAAAATTGGAATGCATGATTTTTTGTTTTTTAGTCATCTGTGGTAGCCAGTATGCTTCAGAGAGTGAGAGTCATTGGACAAATAGGACAACGGCAACAACATAAATGGTGTTTGAAGTATAAGTGCTTTCTAAGCAGTACATACAATTTTGTTGCNATTGGACAAATAGGACAACGGCAACAACATAAATGGTGTTTGAAGTATAAGTGCTTTCTAAGCAGTACATACAATTTTGTTGCACTCACTTTATATATCTATTGAAGTATATGATTTAAGCATGCCACATTATACATGCCAAACAAAACAGCAATAATGACTAAATAATGACATAAATAGGAAAATGGAAAGCAAATGAAGGAATTGATGGAAGCTCTGTTTTACTAGTATGAAATAAATTAAATTGAAGAGATCGAATGTTCATCTTAAAAGAAAAACAGCAAGTTGGAATGTGTTAGATATTTTATTATACACCGACTTTTTAAAATGTTAGTGGCCTTTGGACCGTTTTCACCGTATTATCTTTTGCTTGCAGATTTTATGCATTCATCTGCAATGTGCTTCAGCTAATGTATTTGGACAATCAATCAAACTTCGGGTACCTTGCTTTAGAGTGTTAATTATGTCTGATACATCTGTGTAGCTATTTCATTGCCTTTTAGCTCTTGACAATATCGTGCAACTATTCTCAATGCTATTTCTTGTATTTTATCCATTTTTTGTACATTTATTATATTCGCTTCGAATCATTCATGAATTTTCTCATAAGAACTTTTTGTAAAAATTTTCCTGCATAGTTAATTGCATTATTTCAGACTTTTTTGTCACTTCAATTATAATATAAGCTAATGTCATCTTTCCTGGGCCATCTCTCTTTCCTATTATCCCTGGACCTATCTCCATTCATGAAAAGTAAGTGGGAATAAGGAACTGTGAAGAAAATAAGCAATCAAAGAACCACAGTCAGCATTCCTTTCCTTACTTAAGTCACCAGAAAATACAACTTGATACAGGTTTCTAAGTGGCTGTGTTTGTACAGCGGGCAACATATTGTCAAGAACAGAGGTAGCGGGAGAATTGGATAGAAATACAGTTACACTACTGAATGCTAATTGCTTAAAAGCCACTAACTCAAGGCCAATTTTTCTCAAAAATAGCGGATGTGCTGATACTATATTGGGTAGTCCATCTAGTTGCTGGCATGTTTCTTATGCAAGTATTTTCCAGAGTTGTGATTCCAGCATATTATTTGG